ACAAGGTGTTGTTTATTAATAGCGGGAGGTACACTATTTTTTTCGTATTTGTATTGTATTTTATTTTTTTTTTTTTAATTGTTTTATAAATGTATCTTTTATTATTTTATATAAATGTCTTGTTGAAATCAAAATGCGGATGGAACAGAACTTGCCATGTCTCTTTAGGTAATTATTATAGATAATTCTTGTCAAGATAATAGATTAACGATTGGCATAGTTTTGCTTTTCATAATTGTAATCACAATAGTAATATTATTATCATAACAATAACATGCGCATTTTTACATTTAGACCTTTTTTGAGATCCCCAATTAATTATTTCCGCAGCTGTGATTGGTCATCTGACTGATCAACTAATGAAAATCACCCAAAATATTTAAAATGTTCAGAAAAACAAATATTCATTATTTTTTTATTATAGTCAAACCAATCCTTCCAACATCTACCCAATGTCTAATTTACTACAAGTAAGCTAAAATGTTAAAAGTTGTTACATTATTTATGTTAAAGAGTTATTTTTTTGTACTATATAACAATGAATCTATGTTAATCTATACAGCCAACATGGATGTTTCTACTGTTCTTACACCACCTTCTTCACCCATTTGTGCTTTACAACATTATGAATGTGCAGTTTGTAAGATCTTATACAAAACTAAATCTGGTTTAACACATCATAATACTATTGTACAAAAATACAACTTGCAACATGAAGGATTGTGCAGATTGCCTTCTGATGTGATAACTGAGTTTAAAGCATTTCTTGTTCATGTTATTCAAAGCAAACTTAAAGAACATTTTTCTCAATTGAGTAGACAAGCTATTTCCTTTCCTTGTTTGGAAAGTTTGTTTTTTGGAGTTTTTGAAGGGTATATTCATTATTGTAACTATCGTTCTGGTGATTATAAGTGCTTTTTCCAAGGTCTTGATGCATACACACAAATAGCTAATTTACTTGGCAACTCAAATTGGGGGCACAAATTTTTTGATAATGACCAACAAACCTTTGTTATGTTATTTGATGCAAGGGTTCCCTACAAAAAGTTTAGGTGCTTAAATGTATTTAAAACATGCTTAAAATCTACTTGAATGTGCTTAAAATGTGCTTAAAACATACCTTTTTTAATAATGAACAAAATTAAGTATGTTTTAAGTAACCTTTTAAGTG